GAGAATTTGTTGAGCAAGACTATATTGGACGCTATATTATGCTTAAGGGTCAACTGTGTATGCCTGAAATTTTCTGGGCTTTTGGCAAAACTCTGAGCAGTTTCGATCATACATCTAATGTACATACATATGTACTTAAAATTATGCGCGCATTGCTAATGTACATACATATTTACAAAACACTTTTCTGCCTACCATGCCTACTCAATAAAGTATTTACATATTATTTGTAAGGATCGATTTTTGATCTGTTTGTAAGTAAGCTACATATGTATGTATGTACGTACATTCGTATGTATTTTGTATTTGGTGATATTCTTAAATAGTAAGATAGTTTTCATTTCGAGAAAGTCTTAAAATGGTCTGACTTTAAAATGAAATCATTAGAATTAGTACTATTAGCACTATTTATATAGCTATAGCTATTATAAAGACGTTCTCTCTTCCTGGTGAATTTATTGTTAGCCATGGACGTGGCTGTTGTGCATGTGGTTGGTGATGCTGGGCGTGATCCTTCTTGTTGTTGTGTTGTAGTTGATGAACTTTCTGAAGAATCTAGTAGATTTATTTCAGCATCTTCGGATATCGCAGTCTCCATGATGAGATGTAAAGTTTTAGGTATTTTTCGGCTGACAATCAATGACAAATGGGAATTGTGTTTGACACCGCCGATGTAGTTTGCTGTTGGCGTCAGCGTAGATGCTCTTGTAAGCTTTGACCGAGGCGATGTTAGTGGTAATGGAATCGATATTGTGGGCATCTCGATGTTGGCGACGGGCATGGAGCACTCGTTTTCTTCTATTCAGCTGCCGTATTTATTGGAAGATGCGTAGCTATTAACTGCGGCAGATCCATTCGATGGCATGTGAGTATCAGGCACTAAATGTGGAGTTCTACTAGATACAGGTGGCAAAATAGGACTGGTTGGCCAATGGTATGTTGCAGCAACATTATTGGATGAGGGAACACTTCTATGCAAAAAGCAGTTTGATCACAATTAATAAAATTAAATATACTGATTTGTTTGAAAAAATGTTCAAAGTTTATTGGTTTTATGAGATTTTATAGGCCGAATTTTTTCACACAAAGAATTACTCATATTTGACTATTCAAGCAAACTATTAATGGGCTTTAAATGAGAATTGGTGGACAGATGATAGAATATTTGAAGAATGTGGTTCCAGTTTAATATTCTTAAATTCTCAATCTAAATCTATCGAATCACTTTAGGTGAGATAAACGTAAGCGCGTAAGTGAAAAATGTTGGTGGTTCAAAATCTACATATTAGGTGGTTGGAAAGTGGCTAACTTTTATACTAAATTCAGATTTACTGAAAAACTTTGCAAAGGCGAGAGTTTATTTAATTGTATGATTTTTTTTACAGAATAATGTAAAGAGCGAACCTGACGAATATGTACAATATATTTCTCCCGCCCTTGAAACATATATAGTTCTCAAGGTGATATTCAACATCGTTCTCCAATTGATCTCAAACCTTGGAGAATTTCATAGTTCTCAAGTTGATGTCCAACATCATTCTCCAATCGTGCTATCATGGGGTTTGAAATTTAGATCGAAAATTTTATATTTAATTTTTAATTCAGTATTTCAAGCATACATTAAAGATTCATTTGGGGAACACGTTGAAGAACAAGTTTAGAACTACTTATAATTTTCTCAAGTTGAGAAACAATGGATTGAGCTATAGTTGAGAAACAAGGTTAGAGGTTTGAGAAGTATCTTAGTTCTCAACTTAGGCTCAAGTTGAACTCAAACCTAAATGTTTATTTGGAACATACATATTAGAAGCTTATTTAAGTTACTGCCTCATTTTACATCAACGTCAGTCGGACTTGGAATCCTCTTCTTCATTTTTGATTGTACGGCTGGAACCTTTGCAGCCCAGTACCTGCCCATCCCCTATTGGTAAGCTGAATGATGTTTAACATTGGTTCTGTTTTTTACGCGATAGTTTATAATAGTTCGAAAAATTGTTAAGGGTTTTCCACCCCTATGCTGGAATGCGAATTTTCGTAGTTACGAAATCGGAGCTCCGCAAAATACAAAAATGGCATGGAGTAATCCGTTCATAACTATCCGCCGCGCTGCCAACCAAAAACAGGAAACTCGAAGCACTTAATCAGTTATTTCGGCAGGAATAAATAAACAAATATTTAGTCTTTTCCTGTACTGCAGGATTTACAGGAAAACCTTCAAATCCTGGAGTATGGGAACAAACTAGTTACCACTTATAGAACTTTAATTAAAATGTAGATGCTGTTGCCGCTGCTTTAGGCAACAATCGCATGAATCTGAAGATGAGATTGTTAGGAGTTGTGTAATTCATCTAACTGAAATATTAACGTAAAAAGATTAAAATGTTTAAAGACTTTGGAAAAGTTTCGCATTAACAAAAATGCATTCAAAAGCTCATTAGGTATTATGGAGTAAATTGTTGTCGAGGTAAGTGTAAAATCTTCGTAAGTGGTTTCTCTATGTCGATTGGTGGAAGTTTTGAGGTTCTTCACTGAAGGAACATGGTACTAGAAAAGCCCATGACTTGGGGTTGGGCGTTTTTATGCGCTGCTTAAATTACGTAATGCTGTTCGTAAAAAATTTCCGCAAAATACTTAAAATTTAGAGCTACGTCGGGCAAACAACATTACGAATTATGAAAGTGGCCTACGATTTCAAAATTACGATTCGGCAATACGGATTACATCATACCGATTTTCCGATTCGTAACAAAATCGAACGTACGACAGATTTCAGAATGGGGATTTTCATGTTTAAAAAAAAAAAACTTCCAAAGAAGTGGAAATTTGATAGCGTAGCAAGTCTAACTGGATACATTTTTACTTGTAAGGATTTGCAGTAAGAAAAACAGCTGATTACATGCTCCATCTTGCACTTAACATAAACTACTAAGGACTAGATTTTTGGAAGAGTTAAGTTAAAAATCCCAAAATAAAACTATTTTAATAAAATACCACGAAACCAGTAATTACTTGCAACGCTAGCGTTTTCGTACTGTATTGGATACTTCTCTCATTAAGACCGATTTTCGGAAATTACTTTCTAGCAAGTTAATGGATATTTTTTACTGGATAATACATGAATGTTAAACATGGTTTCATGGTTGGCGAAAATCCTCCTAGATATATTTTCCGCTGCGCCAGCATAGGCTTGCTCCTTTGCCGCAGTGGTGCAAGCAGGCGGGGCCTAGCTAAGGCCGAGGTATAAACTCTACTGCCACGTCTAGTGGCAGGCCGTATGGGCTCGCTCTAGCGAAGCTGGGGTGGGCCTACTGAGGCTATTTCTAGGGGGTAGCTGGCGGTGGATATAAAACGCCCCTAATCCAGGGTGCCATGCATCACCGTACCCATTGGACGGTTTGCAGTCAGGGGGCTATCCAACTGTGTTCTAAGTGCACCTCCCGGATACCTGTCCCCCTCCGGGAGTTACAGTGGACTTCCTGCGGCATGGGACTCTGCCGTGGTCGACCGTTTTTCCCCTTTCCTTTTTTCCGGCCGCCGAATAGGTTCTGCTTATTAAGCTGCCAAAAAACCAGACGAAAGTGAATCAGAACAAAGCAACCTCGGAACGCTGCACGGGTAGTGCTGCCGCTGGACACGGCGAAGATAAGTCCAAAAAACCCACCATCTCGGGACCCGCATCGACAGCGCCGAAGAAAGGGGCCTGCACGGCCCAAGCAGTTGCGGTCCTCCGCAGAATCTGGAGGGAATGCTAAGCCCCCGAGAGGGAAAGCAAACTTCCAGCGATACCGGAAGAATTATACACGCGAGGGAAAGTCGATTCCGGTGGAGAAGCTGTGGACGGCCCCTCTCTGTATGCCCACCCCGGGCACATCCAACTTGCAGGGGGCAGTAGCCGAGCCCAAATCCTCCACGGACAAGCAGGGGACTACTTCTGTGAGTAAAACTCCGAAGATTGGGACAAACGACCTCGATCGGCGCCTGGGCTGCTCCAATGCAGCAAAAATAATTCTGCCCTCCGTCAGGACTAAGCGCGACCGTAGGGCAGCCCCTAAGGTCATTGAAAGATTGGGTGCCATTCCACATGACCAACTAACGGAGGAACAAAAAGCCGCCCTCAAGTGGGCAATGGGAGTCTTCGCCGCCAGCGACAAGCGATCCTCCGGGAAAGGTGGGAAGGACAAACCCCCCATTAAGGCAAACTCACGGAAGGACCTAGACCCCAAGAGACAACGATCTCAGGACGACACCTCGAGTGGATCCAAAAGGTATAGGGCTTCCTCCCCTTCTAACCGTCCGTCCACCGCCGTGTCCACCATGAAGCCATTCAGCAAGGCCGCCAAAGAGCACTTTACGCTAGCGGTGCTGGATAAGGGCCATTAGGAGGCCCACATTAGCAAGGACAATTGGAAGTCCGTACTGATGGGTCTATGCAGGGTGTATAAAGGGATACTCCAGAAGTATCCCGGCCCTGCACCAGTCGTCTGTGATGCTGGGTGGCATCAGGGGCGGGTAAAGCTGGTTGCGTGTGTAGATGAATGCGCGCTCCAGCTCTAGAAGAAAGCGATCTCCACGATTAGACAGCTGTGGCCCGGAGCAGACTTAGTTGCCGTCCATAGGGATGAAATCCCTAACAGGCTGCGAGCTTGGGCCTTGGTCCCAGCTGAACTGTCAAAGCCGGAGGAGATTCTGGAATTTATCCGACTGGGCAACGAAGAACTGCTCACCAGTGATTGGAGGATAGTCCGAGTTGGCGAAACCGAGGGAAAGCAACGTTTTGTTGGCGAACGTTCGAAAATTATTTTCGATATCCAATATGAATGTCGTGAAAAGGAACATAACGCTCATATACTTCAACACTGTCATAGCCCAAAAAACACAAAAAACCTAGAAAAACGACATTAAATTTTTTAACTTACATATCGTCACCTGAAATTCAAAAAGACGTAACAAATATCATCGTTGAAATGCAAAAAGTCATAACTAATAAAAACTTCAAAATTCACTTTTTGATTTATATTATGGATTTCATCGAATTACAACTCTCCACATCATTTATCACTTTTCCTTTTCATTTACGATGTTGTTACGTCTTTTTGCATTTCAGGTGACGATATACTTCCAAAGTAAAAATTAAGAGCTGATCACATATTTTGTAATGGAACCATTCCCCAATTCTGATAAAATAGTTCTCTTCTCAAGAAGGAGCCCAACAAAATCCATCAGACCCCGCTGCACCACCGCCATGAGAAGGGAGTTAACAACAGACTTCGGGTAGACATTGTTGAACGCACTGTCGATATCAAGTGGCCAATCCTCTTTCAATCATCGAAACGATTTCGTGGAGTGCAGTCTACACAGAGTTTTAAGAAAGAATGAAGTGAGGCTTATAGGCCTGAAATCCTTCGGACAAAGATTGATGTAAAGCGATCTATAACTCTTACTCGGCTGTACCGCTCCTCTCTCAGATTAGTAGTGTAATCACCGGACACTGCAGCCACTCGAACCTAACCTAACCTAACCTAAACACTGTCATAGTTTGAGTATAAATCGATTCAGACTGTAATACTGACTGCAGTTTTAACTTAAAAGGTACTTAAATTTTGGCCTCCCAGCAGTTAAAGATAACTCAATTGATTTAATAATTTTCTGTCGCAATATTGGTTATTTCCAAATGCTTTTTTATTTATGGAACCTATTCCTTGCGCCGCATTTAAAAATTTACTTCAGAATTTGTTTGTCAAAACAATCGCAAGAACTTAAAGTAATAGACAATATGAGCAATTCCTGTGGGCACTGCATTTTAAGAAATGTTTTTTCTGCATGAAAGTGTAAAATTTTGTGGATGTGGACAGGGAGGAATCCAATACAACAAAACAAGTGCACGGAGAGGCATTTGCATATACTTGAAAAATAAACGAATTTTTCACAAACCTTGAGTGGGGAAATAACATTGGTGATGCATTGAACAGGGACTGCGGCGAAGGCTGTATTGAAGTAGCCGCTGCGTCTGGATGTAGAAAGTTCTTCCGTTGTTCTATGCGTTCTTGATGTTGGGTTAGACATCGTGATATTATGTCGGGTAAGCTCTCTAAATGATCCTGTTGAAGAAAATAGTTACAATTAAGCAGTTAGTCATGGTTGTAAAATTGAGTTTGATTATGACGAGAAATAGTATCAAATGTGCAGAGGTGTTATTCGTATAGATATGTACGTATGTATGCAAATTTAAGTGGACCTTCGTTACATGGAGAATATATAAAGTTTTTGAATACTCCGCCTCGCTTCTGGTAGGAATTACGAAATATTTTTTTTAAGATTTGAAAAAAAAACACACTCAAAAGCTGATGCCACATAAAACTTTTGCTTCGCTTTACGTGACAGATTCGCTTTGACAGATGAGATGAATTGTATGAAAATGCACAAAGAATGCCACATAGATCGTTGAAGCTGCAGCGCGAAGCGAAAAGATGGCTAACTCCCATCATTTGCACGCTTTGACAATCAGCCGGTTTAATATTTATTTTGTTTCGTCCAAATTCGAGTTTCCATGCAGAAACATAAAACTTAATTACATTGCTAATAATTTTAAAGCAAAATATATAAAATCCACAGCAATTTTGAAGAGTAAAAAAGCAGTACAAAATTGTTTTCTTGGCGTTCATTGTGGCATACCTTTTGCGTCTGGCGCTTTGCTGGCAAAATTATAAATGTCACGCAAAGCTACAAAGTTTTATCTGGCATCAGCTTAAAAGTGAAAGTACATAACGTCCATTGCGTCACTGTCACCGTCACCATCAGTTGTCAAAAAAGTTGAACTGGTGTATTTGTATGAAGTAAGTTACATGACAAAGGTGACGGTGACAGTGACGCTCAAATTGGCTCAAGTGACAACTAGTCTGGTTTTGTTTACATATTTGAACTAAAATTTTTCAGTTTGTAAAAATTTTTGGATTTATTTAAATAAGAAATGTAAAACAGGATGAAAGAAAAGTAAAAACGCAATTTTGTCAAAGAGTAGCAGTGAGTTTTTGCTTTACAGGGCGTAATGGTGTACGGAGAGTCTTCAACTTGTCGCATAAGCACCGTTGACGCTGGCAATGACGGTGACGGCGTCGGTGACGCAATGGACGTTGTGTACTTTCGCTTTAAGGAAGCTCAAAGCGACTGAACTCTAGAAAACTGAAAACTTTTTATGTTGTTTAAACTTCGAAAACCATGATATTATGTTAACTGTAAAATAAAATATTAAAAATTTTGTTATAGTACATAAACCAAAAAACGGGTTGGGCGCTGGTTTGGGAGCCACCATGTAAAAAAAAGAAAGCCTCGGATAAGACCCCTTATTTTGATTACTACCACGATAAACGTTTAAAGGACTGCGATTTAAGGGAATGTACCTGCAACTTCCGTACCCTTAATGGGGAAGGTGCCCTGCCTGGCTGGTTGATGTCCTTATGAAGAGAAGAGATACGATGGACGGGGTTAAACAAAAATTTCGTGGGGCCTTGCGACGCCTACTACAGCTTGCACGTAAAGGAGCGCGAATGCGGTATTGCATTTGCAGTGGGAGAGGGACTCCGTCGCGGGTTCGGGACTTAAAAATTGATCTATAGTATGCAGTACTAGGTTTCAGCATAAAAATATCCATCAAGCTGCATGGCTGTATCCTGGTCAAAAAACGAAAAACCAAACTGATCTTGTTGTGATAGACGAAAGTCCTGCTTCCAGTGATGTACGTACACTTCAAGGACTAAACATTGACTCGGACCACTCTCACCAGATACGCACCCACACTCAGAAAAAGGTTTAGTTATAATTACCAAGATTTGGTTATAGTGACCAAGTGGCATAGTTGGATATGGCGAAATAAATATCTAGTTCACGAAAGTCTGCAATTTACTTGAGACTTCTAGTTGGGACAAATGTATATTTGTTAATAATTACAAAACGACTACCTTGAGTGGACAATATTGTTAGTTGAATAAAATCATTGTTGAGCAAATATAAACAATGCTTTGGTTGATACAAGTTTTCAATTAATTTTGTGAACTTGCTGTAGTGTTGAATCAGCTAACCGTTTATTATTGGAAAAAAAGTTTCAGTTTGACACAAATAAAAATTTACTCGATGGTTGTTGTGTTTACTTCCTTCTTTTATTTGCATATATTAATCATAAAAAATACATACATATTTACATAAATAGTTACTAGTGTAAATAATACATATGTATATGGTGGTAAGAATTTCCTAAAAAGAAACGATGAAACAGGAACAGTCGTGCGAAAACCCAGGTCAATATCTGCTGGAAGTGCTGGTTTAAGTATACTGCTTTGCTTTTCCCTGGCTAAATAGGTACTTTCAAATTATAATTCACATGAACTATATATCCTCTGAGAAACCCCGGTTGGCATCAAACTTTATATTTTTAAATAACTATGCGCAAACCGAAACAACTCGCGGCGATGGCAAAACTGAAACAAGTCTGGGCGGGTCATAGCACACACTTTTCATTCTCTACCTAGCGCAGTGATCGACATGCCATAGCTTACTGAGCGCTCTGTGAGCACATGCGTGTTTCACCCTTATAAAACGATGTAGAGAACAAAGGTGGCGCCCATCTCGGTACAGCTATTACGCTCTCAGTGAATTCGACAGAGGCGCTGTTTGTATGACGTCACACTTGTTGTTCTTCTTCCATTCTTGCTCGCGTTTTGGCATTTCTCTCTCGCAAATGCACCAGTGTGATGTCACGCAAACATTTTTCTCAAAAATCCTCTCTGATGGGCGCAATCTTTATTCTACCATTTTTGCCCAAATACGAACAGCGGTAACGGAGCAATGATTTCCATGAACAGAGTCTCATTCATCGAATCGTTTTTATGCAATGGTCGGCATACTAGCACATTCAAACGATTCAATAAGTGGGACTGTGTGCGTTGCTCGGCTGGCGCTCTTCGTATGTGAAACATACATGTGGCTCACAAGCATGAATATGTTCCGCTCTCAAACCAAATCGTGGTTGCCTCAACTAAGATTTGGTAACTATGACTTAACCATGTGTTGAAAGAAAGCTTATCTGTATTAGCAGAGCCTAATGGCATCCTTTTATGAACCATACGTTAAGTTGAATGGAATTTGTAGAAATATGCTTCAAAAAAATATTTATTAGTATTTACCAAACCCTTCAACTAAATTAACGATTTGGTACAACCTGGATGAATATTAGAAGCTTTAATATATTTAGTTATAATTACCAACCCATGGTAATAGTTCCCAATCCTTGGTAACAGTTCCCAAATATTGTCAAAATTCGGGAACTAAATATCTTTAGTTGTCGAAACTAATCCTTTTTCTCAGTGCACCTCAGCTCAACGTCGAAAATGTGGAATCGCAACAGACGGATTAGTTATTCGCTACCAGACTCTCGCATCCTCTCTCAGAGAGCACTATTCAACAAATCAACTTATGGGAGCAGTGGAACCACATTTCCCGCTCATTTCGTACCGCCGCCGAACAAGTAGTCGTATTTCAGCCAGCCCGAAAGAACAACTGGTACAATGAAAAGTATCAAGAAGCTGCAGAGAAAAAGATGCCGTCTGCAGGGCCATTATGCGATCGGACGCAACGCAACGCTATGTGGGACCGTTTTGGCTTGAAGAGGGAAGCAAGACGTATTTGCCGTAATAAGACAAGAGAGACCGAAATACTAGAATGCGAAGAGCTTGAAACGCTGGCCGACAGGAAAAACGCGACTTAGGGAAGGTTTCAAGAAGGTAAGAACGACCATGGCGACCTACTGACCTATGTCCAGAATGTACTTAAATTTTGGAGAGAACACTTTTCCACCCTTCTTAATGGTAGCAGCACTGAAAGTTCTGGAGAATACGAACTCGAGACCCAGTTGATGACGACGGAGTCGCTGCCGCACTGACTGACTATGAAGAGGTACGAATAGCAGTTACACGGCTGCAATACAACAAAGCTGCTGGTCCTGATGGCTAGCCAGCAGGGTTATTCATGTACGTCGGCGAAGAGTTGATAAGGTGCATGTTTCATCTCATATGCAGAATATGGTCAGATGAACCCATGCCTGACAGTGTAGCCGTTTTCACTACGATCGAAGTTTTTCACTTCACTTTTATGACGAACACTTCACTTTTATTTTAAGCGACCAAAATTCACCAAGAAATTTTCTGATTTTTTTTTTATATTATGTTTAGTAGATATGTACATATGTACATATTTGTATGTACGTCCCAAGACAGCATCAGACATTGGGTAGGTTCAGAAGGCGCAGCAATTGAGCGCAAACGTTGCTAAAAAAATCAGCGATTCCTGATAGTGTTAGGTCTGCGATGGATAGGGGCAACTACGGGAGGATAATACATGAATACTTTAGTTCTATGAGATAAATGTGATTGCAACTCAGCTTTTCTCTCCTCTCTCCTTATTTTTTTCTTTCTCCTTTATACTTAATTGTTGTGTAATTACTATTATTTGATGTTAAGTTTTAATATTAAATTGAAGAATGATTTTTTGTACTTAAATTTAAATTTATTGTTATCTCTTATTTGTTTTATGTTAGGGTTAAGATTCTAATTTTGTAAATTAATGCGCGCTGATGTATTATAAAAGACTGAATAGTCTAAAAAATACCACCAAATTTCTTCGTTAAAAATAAATAAATAAATAAATGCGTCTTCTGAACCGCTTGATACATTAGCTGTCAAATTCAACAGCACACAACATGTTGTCTCAAATGATCAGAAAAATATTGTGATCATCTAACACACAAACAATTTTAAAAAATGAAGGTAGTTTTAATAAATAACTTTTTGACGGATACTGAGATTTTTGAAGCTTCATAATTTGTTCATGTTGCTAGCAGCGTTACCATATTGTTAATATTTACAAACAAATTAGGGAATTTCGAGATGGGAATTTATTTCACAGTAAATGGGTGTAGATATTTTAGTCTTTTTAGATGAAATAACACAAACGGCAATAACGCAAATTTTCTTTATTTCACTTTTAAATGGGAAATAATACCAAAATCTGAGTTTTTGCCTTATTTCCCATTGCTTATTTATACCATTTGTAAAAAACAGTTTACTCACAGAAGGAAAAAGAACTATGTTTATTCCAAAAATACAATTAAACTAAGGCAAATTGAATAGGTAGGATCAGTATAGCAGCTGATTTGATTTTTTTCAAATTATTTGTTCTCGAAAATGTCAAATATTTTTAATTTCTTCTCACAAAAATTCTAAATTGTTAAAATCTGAAACCATGTGAAACCTTTTTCCATACAAAACCAGCGATTGAATAGCAGCTTTTGGAACGCTCACCCAACTCAGCAGCACAATCGCTGATTACTGGGACTGGCACAGGATGGATCAATGCTTCGAAAAGCAAACCAATTTACTAAGAAAGAAAGTTGCAACAATTTTCATTTTGTCATTTTTTCAATTTTAATCTTTTTCGTATTTCGCATGGCACGCTTTGATGTAGAAGAAAACAAGCAACAGTTTTTGACACCTTCGATACCAGAAGCAACAACAAAATACAGGCAAATGTTGTTTTTGCTCAAGTGCTCTAAACCTTTTTGATAGGACTTGAATTAAACAAAAAATGTGGTTTAATTCATATGAAGAAAGTAATATTCACAAAATATTTTTACTTATGAAAAGTCTAACAAAATATAGGGAACGCATCGTCTTTAAAAACTGCTCGGCATATTGGACATAGCGCTTTTGTATGAATTTTATCTGCATGCTTTTTAATATGTTAAAAACATTGCTGGAAAACCTTAAAATGTTTGCATGGAACGTTGTCGCAATAAACAGATGAAGTAATAAAACGGCTTTCTCGCTTTATTTTCTGACTTTCGGCTGCCTTATAGTCACATTTTATAGGCAAATTTTCAAATAAGGCAGTGACACCTGCCACTATGGGTGGGATGCATGCAATAACACCATACAAAATAATTCCCATTACTTGGACATTAAAAAGCAGTTTCAGAAGTGAACTAGTGTTATTTTATTATTTTAATTTTTTCTAAACGGTTATAATGCCACCAGTGCATAATTACGAAAGGAGGCGATGGGGCGGGGGACGCCACCCCCCTTACTTAGCTCTCTTTTTATGCGGTACATGCGTTTCTCAGAAAGACGCATAAAAAAAATCCGCATAAAAAAGTTCTTTACTTTCATACAAAAACAGGGGATGCGTTCCAGCATTTTCAAAAACCGCATATATTCAGATACTCCAGTGAGGCATTATTGAGCAAAAAAAAAACTACTTATTTCTTCACTTCAACACTTATTATTCCATGTAAAACCGAACATTAATGAAATGAATAAAATTTTATCTGTATTTTAACCAAAAAAATAAATAAAAATACCACAATAAATACATGAATTATGTAAGAATACAAAGACAAATTATTTATCAGAAGCATTGTCTCTTGCCCACTGAAAAAAAGTAATAAAAACTCTCAAAAAAGCAAAATCGCTACTGCGAAATAATGGTTTGAAAAAACCGGTAAAATTCAAATCCGCATAAAAAAAAGCCGCATAAAAAGAGACCTAAGTGTATACTTACAAATCCGTCCATTTAACTTGTTCATGTACTACTTTTTGTCAAATGTAACTGGGTGACATATGTGCACTATTTTGCTTTATCACTCAAATTGTTAAGTTTAAAAGTTGGTCTTATTGCTCAACGAGAAATGAAATAAAGCAAATTTGTGTTTTTCACATTCAATTGGGAAATAACACAAACTTGCGTTATTGCCGTTTGTGTTATTTCACCCTCCCCGTACGGTATTTCTCGACCCTACCCCAAAACTAAAAAGTAATCTACTTGTATGTATGTTGCGATAACATTATTTAAAGTTTTTATTTAATAAATTCAACAAATCATGAAGACGTTATTTTTATCATCTTTTTATATTCTTATTTAATTTTGTTCTCTTTTAACTTTAGATTTAAATATCGAATTGAAAAAAAAAAGTTTTACAGTCCTTTCCTCTAGAGTCACATTTGAACTGCACAATAAGTTAAAAAAATTCGGACTTGTTAACTTGTCACCATCAATGTTGAGAACATATATACAGATATTTTAGAAGGCTTTCCTTGCTCACGCCGCAGGGGGCTCAAGCCATTTTTGTCTCACAAAAGGAAGCCGTGGAAATGTTAAAAAATTTGTATCGTCTTCCTTGCAGTGGTATTTTGTATTTTTGCAGCTTCCAAATGCGCAGCTCATTTTTGTTTTTATTATTTAAAAAAAATAATTTTATTTTTTGCTTTGTCGACCAAATTCTTTTCAGAACAAATTTTATTATAATTTTCAATCTGGTAGCTTGATTTTGATGAAATTGTCATAATCTCAGCAAAAGTCAAATGGCTAACATGGCTGCTAATGTCATTAAGTGAAACTACCTTCTTTTTTCTACCATGCACGCAACTGTTCAGTTGATCAGAAGTACAAAACAACGCGTTCAGAAGGTGCAATCGCAACAGTTACTGAGCTGTTACGCCTTCTGAACGTGACCATTGTGTTGAAAAATTAATTTTTTAGTAATTCTTGCTTTCTCTAGCGGTTTTTCTATTATTGGTTGACAACCCTAATTTAAAAAAATGCGTGTGTAACACCGTACACATGATAGAAGTGAAATTCTTAAAAAAGGTGTGAGTACCAGGTACCTACTTACGAAATTGGATGTGTAAACATATGTTTACGGTTCGGCAAACCATTAGTCGATTGAGTTACATACATAGGTTTGGTTAGAAATCAAACAATAATTTCATTTCATCTTATTAATTTTCTGATATACATATAATTTATTTATTCATTTTCCGGTAACACCACCTTATATGAATTCGTGCTTCTAGCATCCATAGGACCGGGTTGTAATGGAAGTAATTGTATGTTTAACAAATAAATGAAAATGTTTATAATGCAATCAATAGATCCTTACGAATTCGCCATTACCAAGGCACTAAGTAACGTACGCACTTTTGTTTGCAAAATGCATTTATTTAAGTTGAACGAAGACAAATTCCTTTGTTCGGCATTTATTCTTACTCGTTTTCTATCTTCCAGGGCGAATTCATATATTCTTATCACTAATTCATATATTCATGTGGTAGCAAGAGTATAAAAACATAAAATTACCTTATAAATTAAACGCATAAGTATTACATGTATGAGTAGTCCAATACACGAAATCATTTCATCGATCTGAGTAAAAACTAAGTGCATAAACTCTATTTCGCGTTGATTTAAATCATGAAATGGTGTTCATTCATTCAGTTTCTACTCAAACGCATGAAATGATTTCATGAATTGGCCTACGTATAATGGTAGTAAATGACAGAATGAATTACAACAAACACATCCTTTTGACATAATGCAAGCCGAAAACGTTGGTTCAAAGCAATCCGCAATCAAGTTGGACGTTTGTGGGCACATTGCAATTTTGCGAGCAGTCTCATTGTAAAATCTCATTTTTACAATTTCATAGTTTCGGCTTACATTTATAAAATTCAACGAAAGCACGTACCTATTTCGGCTGAGTTATCCATTTTCGGTTATTTAGTGTACAAAATAAACGCAAATTAAGTGAGTTTGTACCATGATTCAATAATTAAAGGTTTGCTCATTATTGACATTAGAGTTTTGACACTCCCTTAGCTCCCTAACAAAAGTTTTGCACACACACNTCATTATTGACATTAGAGTTTTGACACTCCCTTAGCTCCCTAATAAAAGTTTTGCACACACACACGAACCCACACACAATGCTTTGCTAAGGGAGCCGATTTTGTCAAGAGGGAGCGAGAAAACTGCTTTTTGAGCAAACCTTTTATTATTGAATCAAGAGTTTGTACAACATGGCCATTAATGTTGCGATAAGTTGCACAACTTCAGAAAATCCAAATTTTTTGATCTTTCATACAACCAAGACATAAATTCATACAACAGGCCCATAAACAGTGCAATCTAGAGCAAACAACACCAAGTTGAACCAACGGTCGCTACGTTTATGGCTTTCTTTAAGAAACATCGGGCGAAAATTTCAACTGCTCCTGTAACACTACCTTATATAAGTTGGCCTTGCTATCATCCTCACATATGTTCATCAGAGTATACCAACGAAGGACGAGTTAATACAAGGAGATAGCGAGAGCACAAAACTACTCTAGAAAATTACACGCACAATGACAAACATGAACAAATGTACAACAAACACATAATTTTTGACAATCAGTACAGTTCGCATTTATATCAACGAGCAGCTTATTAGATTTGTTCTCGTTTGTACTACATATGTGCATATATACATGCACACAAACATATGTACATACACAAACATTCAAACATATGTGAAAACATTGCTGTCCATAAGAACATACATATGGCCATCAGTACATCAACGAAATCTCCAGTTTCGAACTGGTGCTCTTCTAGTACATTTAGAACCACTACTAGTTCGCGATAAATCTCTTTTGCATGCAAACTGGCGAATTTAACACAGCGATGAAATAGGAATTGGAAATTGTACCCCGCTGCATTACCTTTTCTATAGTTCAGAACCAGTCCTAAATTCGACATATGGGATCTAGTTCGCTTTGCACCCCATTTCCATAGTTTCGAACGAGTTGTAAACGAAAAAAGTAACAAGATGTTTTCTTTTTGGGTTACCATGGTAGCAATTTTTAATTATTTGCAGAGAAATGTATTTTCAATCTGAAATCAAATTTGGTTGAATGAATGCAAGTTAAATTGTGCATTTGAAAACATGTTTACATACCTTTGGCTGTAGCTGAATTTGCTGAATTTGCAGAGGTGCTGACTGTTATTGGTTATATTCCAGAAGGTCCCAAAATGTTAAGATGTTAACACAAATATTAGTTTTGTATTACCAAACTATGAAAAAGCATCTGCGACGTGCAGACTGAAAGCGTATTTGAACGAAAAACCCGCCAAGCAAAAATCTATTTAAAGCAAACAAGCCCCCCGCTGCATCCCTTTTTCAGTAGTTTCGAACTAGTTCAAAATTCGCCAGATGAGATCTAGTTCGTTCTGCATCCCTTTTTCTATAGTTTTGAACCAGTTCTAAATTCGTCATTTTAGATATAGATTTCTAAAATTGTTTTTTAAAAGTACCACATATCGCTGCTTTTGAACTGGTGGCGATCTAGTTACTATCGGACTGGTTCGTTTTTGGCGATAAAGATCTAGTACGGAACTACAAATTTGGTTCACCAGTTCGGGGTTTCCCTACAGGGTATATCCATACAAACATATGTACATATGTACGAATGGATGTAGTTACGAGAAGCACGCTTGCATCATTTATACATAAATTGCTTGGTAGCGGCAGAGCTGAAATGCGCAATGAGTTCGTTCATACATACATATATGTATATATGTAGGTTTTACTTCTCTTTATTAATTTATATTAATTAATTACAAAACTTACAAAACTATTAACAAAGGTTAGGATGACACGTGTCGGGAAAAAGATGAAAAGCGAATGAATGAAAAGATTTTGACATTTCTTAAGGTTGCGTTGGCTGTGATTTGTGCTGTTGGAAGTTGTGCCGACAACAGAGTTGCCACAGTACTCCCCTCGGAGTGAGTGCATCGGAATGTTACTATTGGTCGTGTGTCAAAAAAACAGGTTTCATACGATCGATCGAAGCTTTTGTTTCCCTACCATTCACATCGATTACGAAGTACTTTTGCATTCGTCTCACAACCCTGTACGGACCCGAATACGGCGGCGACAGTGATGGTCTTATCTGGTCATCTCTCACAAAAACCTGGTCGCAAGTTTCCAGTTGCGGATGAACAAAAGGCTTCCGAACAGAATGCCAGGCAGTATCGACGGGCCGTAGGTCTCGCATGGATTGGCGAAGTTGTTGTACGACTTCGGATTCGGTCCTCTGGTCGTCGTTAATGAAAAATTCGGAAGGCAATCTAAGCGTCGTACCATATACGAGCTCTGATGCTGTGCACTTTAGATCCTCTTTAAACGTGGAACGTAACCCTAATAGTATTATTGGCAAGTACGCGGTCCACCTCTGCGTGTCGTGGCACAAAATTGACGTTTTTAACGTCCGATGCCACCGCTCCACTATCCCATTTGTTTGCGGATGGTACGGTGTTGTGCGTAAGTGATGGACGCCCAATGCTTTCACGAGCTCCTGAAATACTGAGCCTATGAAAAGTCGGAAGTGATATCGACAGGAACTCCAAATCGCGCAATCCACCCGTTTATTAGCGCTCGTGACACGGTACATGCCGTCGAGTCGGCGATAGGAATAGCTTCTGGCCAACGCGTAAAGCGGTCGATAATAGTCAGACAGTATCGACATCCATCTGCTAACGGAAAACCACGTCGATATTGATGTGGGCGAAGCTTTGTGAAGGTAGGTCCCTTCTTACAAGGGGTGCTGTTGCATGACGGCTTATCTTGTTACGTTGGCAGTTTACACAGGTCCGTGCAAATTCGATGTTGTCGTGGCGAATTCCAGGCCATACAAAGCGGTCGCACATGAGCTTTGCAGTAGCTCCTGAACCCGGATGCGATAAGCCGTGAGTGGCGCGAAGAACTTGCTGGCGAAACTTCCGTGTTATAAACGGTCGTATACGGTCGTTGGAGATGTCACAGTAAGCACTGCGATTGCTGAAAGGAAGAGCAAAACGTTTAAGATTTAACGAACTGGTACTACCTTCATCCAGAAACATTCTGAGTTCCTCGTCGTGGCTCTGATCTTCCGCTAGCTCGTCGTAGTTTATCGAAAGTGCGTCGATTTGTTGAACACGATCTTCATTCTGCAGACTGTTATCGGTTTGGACCACTTCTGAATCGACACTGTTCCGCTGTAGGCGGGAAAGAAGATCAGCAACGATGTTACTTTGACCTTCGACAAATCTTATGTCTGTTGTGATTTGACCGATAAGGTCCAGTTGACGCGCCTGTCGATCTGACGCCTTATCGAGTTTTGCTTAAAAGCAAAAGTCAAAGGCTTGTGATCTGTGTAAATATGGCAGCACCTTCCTTCGATGAGATAGCGAAAGTAACGTGTCGCTAAGTACATGGCGGTCAGCACCCTGCTGTATCTAGACTCGGCGCCGGAAAATTTGCGTGAAAAGAACGCAAGCGGTTCCACCTTATTATTGGTATTACCAATTTGGTAATCTGGTTTAGGACGGCACCTGCAGCAAAATTAGAGGCTTCAATCCATAATGACGTTTGGTGACGGATGCGCAAGTAAAGCGCAGTTAGCTAGTCGTTTCTTACATTCTTCGAAACAGTGCATGATTTTTGCTGTCCATTGTAAGCTGGAACTGTCATTGCGCAGGTTACCCGGAACCATTTCGAACAGCGGTCCAGCATTTTTCGAAAACCGACGATAAAAATTCACCATCGCCAAAAATCGCTTTAGCTCTTTGGCGACTGTGGGTAGCGGGCACTCCACCAGTGCTTTTACACGATCCGAAAGCGGGAGTATACCTTCGCCAGTGATACGATGGCCGAGAAAGTTTAGCTCCGTCGCGCCAAATTGTGACTTGGCAACATTAATCGTCAGGAAATTTTTTTTTAAGCGACTGCAAGTGCTGTTCGTGTTCTGAGGGTGTTGTCGAAGCGATGCAAATATCGTCCAGATAAGCAAAAACGAAGTATAGACCTCGCAAAACCTCGTGAATTAACCTCTGAAAGATTTGCGCCGCGTTGCGCAAGCCGAAGGTCATGTAAGTGAATTCGTAGAGTCCAAAAGGCGTAGTAATCGCCGTTTTGGCTACGTCATCAGGATGAATAGGTNAGTCTGCAAGTGCTGCTCGTGTTCTGTGGGTGTTGTCGAAGCGATGCAAATATCGTCCAGATAAGCAAAAACGAAGTATAGACCTCGCAAAACCTCGTGAATTAACCTCTGAAAGATTTGCGCCGCGTTGCGCAAGCCGAAGGTCATGTAAGTGAATTCGTAGAGTCCAAAAGGCGTAGTAATCGCCGTTTTGGCTACGTCATCAGGATGAATAGGTACCTGATGGAATGCTTTCTGAAGGTCAATTTTGGAGAATATGGGTTTTCCGTTAAGTATAGCAGCAAAATCTTGCAAATACGGAAGCGGATAACGATCCGGCACGGTGTTGGCGTTCAATGCGCGATAGTCGCCGCATGGTCTCCAAGATCCATCCGCTTTCCTGACCATGTGCAGTGGACTTGCCCAACTGCTGCACGACGGCCGGCAAATGCCCAACTTCACCAAGGTTTCAAATTCTGCGCGGGCGGCGTTTAGTTTCTCTGGAGGTAAGCGGCGGGGTCTTGCGAACACGGGTTGACCGGTTGTCTCGATGCGGTGCGTTACCATTGATTTCGTTTTTGCTCCAGGTTTGGGACTACGTGTTATTTCCAGGAACTGCTTCAGAATATTGGAATAACGCGTGCCAGCGTCAAACGTTTTGACCCCAGCAATGTTGGTGTTTTCCAAAGCACATACAGCTTTAAGTGAAGTCAAACCGTCGTGCAAGCATTTGCGCTTCACATCGACTATGAGGTTGAAATTTGCTAAAAAAATCTACACCTTTAATTGCATAACTTACGTCTGCAATTAAAAAATTCCAAATAAATTCACGGCGTAAACCTAAACTAAGCTTTATTAGAACGTGGCCGTAAATATTTATGGCAGTGCCATTCGCGGCGAACAATTTCATTGATGTAGGCGTAGCTCGAGCTGAATGTAAGCTTTTTGGTACGACGGATACGTCCGCGCCCGTGTCTATTAAAAATTGAATATTGCTGGTTGAATCACGAATGCACAGTCGTGAAGAATTTTCGTTCTCGGAATGTTCGCATAACTCCGAGAGTTCAGCTGAGCTGGCCTATTGCGATTTCTCGTTGGTTGAGGTTAGATTTTTACCAAAAGCACATGGTTTGCGGCAATTGTTAGCTTTTTCCTTGTAAGTGGCGTGATACCAGCATACATCGTGTGCGCTATTACGAGAACGGGAACGTGATTGTGAACGTGAACGAGAGTTCGTACGTGATTTNCTGGTTTGCGGCAATTGTTAGCTTTTTCCTTGTAAGTGGCGTGATACCAGCATACATCGTGTGCGCTATTGCGAGAACGGGAACGTGATTGTGAACGTGAACGAGAGTTCGTACGTGATTTGCGGCTGTCTAGCAAATGGTGGACATCGCGTGAAAGTGCTGCTATTTCTTTCTGAATTTGCTGGAAATCACTCAGCGTCGACGAAACTTCTGCTACTTCCGCCTTGGAAGCATTCAAAGACTCTATAATGGAATCTGCTATTCTTAACCTCTGAGCCAGCTGAACATCTGCTGCTGTAATTGCTCCACGTGCATGTGGAGGTAATCGGCCGATCCAAAGGTTAAGAAGCACGCCGTCACTCAGAGATGTACCCGTACGATGTTGTATTTTCGCGTGTCTCCAATCACCATAGATGCTTCGAACCAGAATTCGAGGGAGAAGTATGCCTCGATGTTGCTTTGTGACAACGCCGGCAGAGGCAGCCTCGGCAGTGAAAGTGTGTGCATACTCCTCGAATCTAGCGCTTGTATAACACTGCTGTCGCCATCCATTGTGCGTCGGGGTCACCAGTTGTAGGTTTTACTTCTCTTTATTAATTTATATTAATTAATTACAAAACTTACAAAACTATTAACAAAGGTTAGGATGACACGTGTCGGGAAAAAGATGAAAAGCGAATGAATGAAAAGATTTTGACATTTCTTAAGGTTACGTTGGCTGTGATTTGTGCTGTTGGAAGTTGTGCCGACAACAGAGTTGCCACATATGTATGTATACATATATATATATACACATACATACGTGCATTCAGACATACATATATGGATATGTAGGTACTCGTATCCGTCATGCGTCGCTTTATTTCTTCTTTCCCCTTCCCCTTCCTCATGTAAAGTTTTCAGTTTTAAAAATTTCACTCCATTTTTGCGATACCGCCGCCTAAGAAGTTTCACTTCAAAAAGTCCACGTCGCACAGTGTTTCGACTATATGGAGGCAGATGGAAATAATAGTACACCTGCACCGATTTCACTGAAACTTGACATGTGCTCTAGTTTTACTTAGAAATAGAGAATTATGAAATTTTGTAAAGATGGAATAATTGCCACGCCCTCTACTCTTGTGGGCGGAAACATTAAATCTCATCCGATTTCGATGAAATTTAGTTTGTAGTCTTTATTTTATTGGAAAAACCTAAATATAAAATATGGGAAGACTGGATTACTATAACGTTCAAAACTCACAAAAAATGTGGGCCCAGTCATTAAATGTGATGGATTTTTGGGTAATTTTTGTTTACCGTTTTTGCAAAAAAAAAAAAAATTGGGTCCACTTAATCATATATATATCAAGAACGAATTAAGCAATTCCAAAACGGTTTGAAGCTTTTAAAAGGTAATAAAATTTTCTATAAACTGTGCATATGACACTTTTTGCTAGGCCCTGTAGATTCAAAGATAACGAACAATCATTACCGATTTTTTCAATTTTTTTTGTAAAAATATAAAAAAAAATGTACTTTGCGGGGAAGGATCTCGAAAACCTTTTATTTTTTTGCAGATTTTTTTTTTCTCCCTAAGCTCTGTTGTGTTACAAAAAAAATAAGCTATCATCGAAGAAAATCGATGCAAAACTACGTAAGTTATAAGCGATCAAATAAAAATACCCAGGTTGCGCAATTTCAACGTATACCTCAAAACGTATGTATGGTATAAAGAAGAGTGAAATATCTAGCTATGCTCTGTTTCTATTGAGTTAAAAGTTCAATTCATGAATGAAATTACCCATATTTTTAACTTTTTTTTTAAATTTATTTATGTTTATACTATATTCTAACAATCTTTATCTTAATTTGATTTTACTATGTTGTCGAAATAATTATGTGTTCTACTTTGACGCTTATTCAG